CTGTTTAGCTCCGCCCACCGATTCTACATCACTGCTTGTTTAGCTCCTCTCACCGATTCTACATCACTGTCTGTTTAGCTCCGCCCACCGATTCTACATCACTGCTTGTTTAGCTCCTCTCACCGATTCTACATCACTGCCTGTTTAGCAACGTCCACTGATTCTACATCACTGCCTGTTTAGCAACGTCCACTGATTCTACATCACTGCCTGTTTAGCAACGTCCACTGATTCTACATCACTGCCTGTTTAGCAACGTCCACTGATTCTACATCACTGCCTGTTTAGCAACGTCCACTGATTCTACATCACTGCCTGTTTAGCAACGTCCACTGATTCTACATCACTGCCTGTTTAGCAACGTCCACTGATTCTACATCACTGCCTGTTTAGCAACGTCCACTGATTCTACATCACTGCCTGTTTAGCAACGTCCACTGATTCTACATCACTGCCTGTTTAGCAACGTCCACTGATTCTACATCACTGCCTGTTTAGCAACGTCCACTGATTCTACATCACTGCCTGTTTAGCAACGTCCACTGATTCTACATCACTGCCTGTTTAGCAACGTCCACTGATTCTACATCACTGCCTGTTTAGCAACGTCCACTGATTCTACATCACTGCCTGTTTAGCAACGTCCACTGATTCTACATCACTGCCTGTTTAGCAACGTCCACTGATTCTACATCACTGCCTGTTTAGCAACGTCCACTGATTCTACATCACTGCCTGTTTAGCAACGTCCACTGATTCTACATCACTGCCTGTTTAGCAACGTCCACTGATTCTACATCACTGCCTGTTTAGCAACGTCCACTGATTCTACATCACTGCCTGTTTAGCAACGTCCACTGATTCTACATCACTGCCTGTTTAGCAACGTCCACTGATTCTACATCACTGCCTGTTTAGCAACGTCCACTGATTCTACATCACTGCCTGTTTAGCAACGTCCACTGATTCTACATCACTGCCTGTTTAGCAACGTCCACTGATTCTACATCACTGCCTGTTTAGCAACGTCCACTGATTCTACATCACTGCCTGTTTAGCAACGTCCACTGATTCTACATCACTGCCTGTTTAGCAACGTCCACTGATTCTACATCACTGCCTGTTTAGCAACGTCCACTGATTCTACATCACTGCCTGTTTAGCAACGTCCACTGATTCTACATCACTGCCTGTTTAGCAACGTCCACTGATTCTACATCACTGCCTGTTTAGCAACGTCCACTGATTCTACATCACTGCCTGTTTAGCAACGTCCACTGATTCTACATCACTGCCTGTTTAGCAACGTCCACTGATTCTACATCACTGCCTGTTTAGATCTGCCCACCGATTCTACATCACTGCTTATATAGCAATGTCCACCGATTCTACATCACTGTCTGTGTAGCTCCGCCCACCGATTCAAGCATGAAATGCAGAAAATGCAGAAACCAAAACGATAAAGATGCTCTGAAGACAAGACGCTGTGCAGTGCCAAGCTGGAGAAACAGTTTTTGCATCGCCTTCCTTCTGATACCAACATTAGGAAAGAGTGGAAGAACTTTATTTTTAATGAAGATCCTGATCACGTCAGTAAGAACTCGGTCCTTTGTTCACTTTATTTTACCGCGGATTCTTTACTGACAAAGGGCACAATTCAACAAAGGATTTTCAGAAAGATTGAAACTGAAAGACAATGCTGTACGACTATATTGGATCCGACAGTAATGGCGCACCACACAAGTGTGAGTAACTGTTTTTATTACATGCTCACAACTGCTTTGTCTGTTATTACTGATCGTTTGATATGTATTTATGTGTTTTAACCTAAATCACAGCAGCATCCATCTATGAAGGCTGTAGGCTGTTAAACATACACAACTGTTAGCCAATCACAGCAGTGGGCGTTTATTTCTGAGTCTACAATCCAGGGGCGCGGGAAGATGTTTTAGGTTGGGGCCGGGGGTGCTGTATGCGCAGGGCGATAGAGGCTATATACACTTAGTGAAAATAGCAGTATTTTTTTGTGATATCATATGCTGTTTACACTAAGTGCAAATAGCTATTCTATTTATACTATGTTAAAATAGCAGAATATTCTGCTAATTACTTATTGCACATACTGGCAGTTATCTGCACCTCAGCATTGTAATACATTATAAAACAGTATGCAATAATAACTTATTGAGTGTCAATTTGAATTATAATTCAAATTATTAAATGGATGCCACCTTATTGGGACAAAAGCCCTCCCTACACCTTCCCTAACCTGTACATTATTTTCAACTATTTGATTATTTCCTTCCTTTTTATTAAAAATAAATGCTTTTCTGATGTGATTTGAAATTTGAATCGGGAGAAAAAAAGTTTACCAAAAGGCAGATTCGAACCCGGGTCGATTGCGTCAAAAGCAAGAGTAGGCTATGACACACACTTTACCATCTACACCATTGCATCTGATGATTGATGACTGTCTTTTGTAATGTTGACTATCCCAATCACATGGTGGTGAGTGGAGTTCGCGTAAATAGCCTCTGCCAACAAGGCGGGCTATTTGCACTTAGTGTAAATAGACACTCCGATTTTTTTTAAATTCCCAACAGTTAAACAGTTGAACCACAGAAAAAAACAGGGGGTGCTGCAGTACCCTCAGCACCCCCACTTCCTGCACCTATGCTACAATTCGTCACACCTATTCAAACAGAGCGTTCAGATGAGGGGGTCAAAACAGGACAGAAAATAGCCTTTTACTTCTAAATTATGATGTATTTTGATGTAAAAATCTTGATAACATTATAAGTGGACCTCAGAGAACCGTACAAAATAATAAAAAAGGCAGTTCATGACCCCTTTAAATCACCAGATCTTCCCTCTTTACACTGGTCATCATGGGAACTGCACTCCACTGGGCTGATACCAGGACAGGCAGATCCTTCAGGGTATCAGTGTCTAAATCACATCGGCTAACTACTGGGGTGCCTCAGGGTTTGGTGTTTGGCCCTCTCCTCTTTTCATTATCCACAAAATCACTGGGACCTATTATCCATGCACTCAGATTTCCTAGCACTGCTATGCTAACAATACAGAGTCTGCCTTGTAGACGACACCTCGGCCTGGAAGAAAGAACGTCACCTTCAGCTCAATCTATTTATAATGCCATCCATTTCAGGCAGGAACTTCTCAAACCACATCCCAAAGATCACACAATCATGCAAATTTACACTGTACAACATCAGGCATTTAAAGTCACTTGAGCGTTTGATTTAACATTTTGATATGTTCCTTTGAGCATTCGATTCATTATTTTATTTTATTTTTTTTATTTTATTTTTTTTATTATGGCAACATTGTATGGGATTACGAAAATCGGTTATCAAACATAATATTTCTTTTTGTTAAGAGTTTATGCTTCACCATATGAGGAGATCAAATGGCATTTAACAGATCACTTGACAGGCTTTTTTTAAATTAGATTTGTATTGTTTTAGAATTGGATTTTCATAACATATGGCGGGCTATTTCAGGTGCAATTTTGGGCATTTGGTTTATCATTTGAATTATGCAAGGAAAAAACCTTCCTGCATTCTTAACATGACATGCTTTTGTTGCAGAATTCCTCATAAGTTACTTTGCATAAAAGCATCTGCTAAATTAATGAATGTATTTTACAATGTATTTTATCTTTTATGTTTAATGTAAAAAAATTTAAATGACTAAACTGATATGTATTCAATCTCTGTTTTCCACTCGCTGAATTTGGTTCACAATTATCTCCAGGAATCATACTGAATATGTTAACATGGTTAAATCTTTATTTCAGCTATCATTGACTTTGCCACATGTGGGGAAAATGTTGTAACCTGATCAGACTTGTGCTGTAACATCACATCTAGCTACATGTAGTCACAGAGGTGGCTGCCTTGCACTTTACAGCTGATTTTTGAACATGAAGACCTCGAGAGCTTGTTGTCGTCAAGATCACCGTATATGGGTCCACACAGACGCAGGCATTTTGCTCACCTTCAGATTGCTTCCAGGAAAGATGGCCATTCCCTCCTTCCAGCCCAGAACATGGACAATCGTCCCTCCAACCTGCGCAGGAAGTGATGCGGCCTCCAGTTCACTGCCTTTAATCACCTTGATTGCATTTGGAGGCAGCTCCACTTTTGGCAATGGATGCGCAGAAGCTTTGGAAAAATAAAAGTTTTTTGCTGCCTTGCACTTTACAGCTGATTTTTGAACATGAAGACCTCGAGAGCTTGTTGTCGTCAAGATCACCGTATATGGGTCCACACAGACGCAGGCATTTTGCTCACCTTCAGATTGCTTCCAGGAAAGATGGCCATTCCCTCCTTCCAGCCCAGAACATGGACAATCGTCCCTCCAACCTGCGCAGGAAGTGATGCGGCCTCCAGTTCACTGCCTTTAATCACCGTGATTGCATTTGGAGGCAGCTCCACTTTTGGCAATGGATGCGCAGAAGCTTTGGAAAAATAAAAGTTTTTGTCTGGTCTAAGAGTAAATACTGTCTTATCCACAATATGTAACACCTCTGGAGATATGTACTAAAAACAATTGTTCAGGAGGAGTGTTAATTTAATACTGACAACCAAACTGCAAGAAAATATAAACACAGGATCAAGTCTCAAGCTCTATCCCTACACCTTGGACAGCAAGCCAAATCTGTTTAGAGTTTTAGTTTTAAAAGAAAGTGAAATGGGAAATTTAATTAAATAAATGTACTTTCTATTCAACTGTAAGCACCTGGAAAAATGATTGTGGAAGTATCCTGGGTTTTCAGCCACTGTGCAGAACTGTCATTGGGAGCGTGAGCGACGCTGCTTTCAGACGGGACATCTGCATCATGTGGCAAGACATCCAGGTCTGCTTTGGCACTCATAGCAAGACTCTGCTCAGTACCACTAACAACAGAGGATTGAGGACATCATGATAGATAGTGCAGAGGCCATTTCACTATTCACATGCAACACTGAAAGAGAACACCATTTCCCTTCAGAAGTAGGAGGGGTTTTTTTCAATCAAGGGGCTGGATATTTGAAAATGAACTTCGAATGCTATTACACAGCAAATTGAACAGCAAAGTTAAAATGCTGCAGTTTATCAGACGTTTTAAGAGGAAGACATTAGTCATTTAGGAGGATAATTTCTGTCATTCCTTTACAAAAATGAAAGAGAAACAGGACATTAACAAAGAAGAAGCACAAATGTGCTCAAATTTCACATCGTTCAGCCTTATTTTAGTTTCGGACACCTCTATATCCCAAATGTGACCCTGGACCACAAAACCAGTCTTAAGTGTTAATTTTCAAAATTGAGATTTATACATCATCTGAAAGCTGAATAAATAAATAAATAAGCTTTCAATTGATGTATGGTTTGTTAGGATGGGACAATATTTGGCTGAGATACAACTAATTGAAAATCTGGAATCTGAGGGTGCAAAAAAAATCTAAATATTGAGAAAATCATCTTTAAAGTTGTCCAAATGAAGTTCTTAGCAATGCATATTACTAATCAAAAATTAAGTTTTGATATATTTACGGTAGAACATGATATTTACTTAATATCCTAATGGTTTTTGGCATAAACAAAAAAAAAATATTTTTGGCTATTGCTACAAATATCCCCAGCGATTTAAGACTGCTTTTGTGCTCCAGGGTCACAAATGATGTTGATGCTCAACCCATAATGTGATAGTGATGGTGATCCATAATCCATAATCTGATGGTGGTGGTGATCCATAATCCATAATCTGATGGTGGTGGTGATGAGGATGGAGCATAAATTATGGTGATGATGCTCATAAACCAGTGGTGGTAATGATGGTGATGATTATGCATAATGCATAACTGATGGTGGTGATGTGAGTGAATCTTCCATTCCATTTCAAAAAGCATCAGTTCAAGCGCATCCTCTCCTCTCCCCAAAATAATCTTTACCAGTGCAAAATGGCGGAAGTTCATGTCGCTGTGCAGTAAACTGTAAAGTAGGCGAACCATTCATTATTTCATTCCGCTCTTGACTGAAAGACTGCTTTATGAGGAACATCCGATTCCGATGCATTTGGAAGGAAAAGACAGATGCGCTCCGTTATGATGATCGATATTAAAACATATGCTGTAATTTCAAGGCAACCTCAGTTTAATTGCTAATTATTAGGGTTTTTTAATCATTTCGTGAAGGGAAAATACGATGAAACGCGCGTCATTATAAGTATCCAGAAATGCATGCAAAGTAAAATCTTTTTATATGGAACGTGCATTAATGGCATGACATGAATAGTGTGTAATGTGAAGGCGATCAGATAATGAATTTATTCTCACCAGTGCTGCTCGGGAGGAATGTGATCTGCGCATGCGCGCATCATGAGCGCACAATCCTTTGATGTTTTGAAAAGTGTGTTGCATTTATTCTACACAACTTCACAATCACATGTGATAGTGTGCAGCGTATGAGATCTCTGCTGTGGGGATTGTTTTGATACGACATTAATTTAAACATATTTTTAAAAAAAAGAGTATCCTTATGTAAAAGAATAAAATGCCTTATATAGCTATTAGTGGCATTTGAGCTAGACGTTAGAGCAAACGAGTCCCTGAATCCCTGAATAAAAACAAATAAATAAACCTCACTGAAAGAATAGCATAAGACAGTCATAATTTCTTGTAGTTTTAAGTGATTTGTTACCTGGAAGTGCAAATGTCAAATGTAAAAATATAAGACTCAAATTTGAATTGACATTACTTCAGTTTTCTCTCGTCTTCATCCTGATTCTGCTTTTGAACTCATCTGAACCATCGATGTGGAAGTTAAACAGAAAAAAATGTTGTACATAAAACTTGAGAATCCTCTACTTATTTCTTTAATTTCTTTATTATTATTATTAGACTTTGCTGTTCAAACATAGATAAAGATGCATTTTAAAAATCATAATACTGAACATTATTTATGTTGTGTAAAATCAGTTAAGACACACAACATCATCAATACTTTGTGTAAATCGGTCACACAATCATGTCACACAACTCACCATTTAATACAAAGCCTAAAGTGAAACTTCCCCACAAAGAGAGTTTACTGAGATTGTTATTGGACTTAGTATTTATTACATTTGGCTTTGAAAGCACGAGAACACACATTTTGCTTTTCAGTTGAATAATCCATGAATAAATCTCATGACACCTTTCAAGAAATATTCACCACAAATATAACTTGGATATCATTAATAAAATGAGTATGGCAACGTCATAAACTTACAGTGTTGGGGAAAGTTACTTTTAAAAGTAATGCATTACAACATCGCATTACTCCAAAAAAAGTAACTAATTGCATTACTTAGTTACTACTGTTCATGGAAAGTAATGCATTACGTACTTTTGCATTACTTTTTGTCACCTGCACTGTAATGGCCCTTTCACAGCAAAAGTGAAAATAATAAGCCTCAGGCTGAGGGAAGTGCCTCTGATTTCTCTCAACACGGGGACAGGAGCTGAGGACAAAGTACCAAAATAACTTTTGTTACTTATTTGACAAAGTAACTCAGAAATGTCATTGTACATGTAAAAGTAATATGTTACTAGTTACTTTACAAAAGTAATCTGATTACATAATTAGTGTTACTTGTAATGCGTTTCCCACAACACTAAACATAGCACAGCACTGCACATGAATTTTTGCAAACCAACTGTTAACAAACTACAAGGCAAAATAAAGTGTATGGCAAGTGTTTTTATTGAGTGAAGACAGAACACGAGAGTGAAGTTCTGATGGATGTCGAAGCTAGCAGAGGTCGTCACCCTCAGGACACATTTTAACCTCTTCATCGATGACCACGTCGACTCTTTCAGCGTTGATATCTAGGGCATTTTGCAACAATCTGGGATGCTCCTGAAACAACCACCACATAGATAAATGCTTGTGGACGCAACGGTTTCTTTTGTGTTCACATAGACACTTCCAGCTGCCAGACTTGGTGTCAAACGAGACGCGTGTCCTCCCAAACTGACACCATTTGTCCTTGAGGTCTGTGTACACAGAAAAGTAGACACATCTCTCTGGAAGGTCATGCTCCCCCCAAAAAATAGGGTACACACAATCGGCTCCCTCTAAACATGCCCTGGAGTTCATCTCCTGGCACTCTTGTTTCTCCGATATGGACAGGAGGTGTTTGTCGGTCATCTCCTCCAGAGAGCTGACACACAGCGGTGGAGGGGGAACGTAGTGCTGCGCGTGATTAGTTCTCACGAGGTGACGGCACTCTTTACCAGGATTCCCGCTCTGGGCCTGTGCTCTCATGAAATCCCAGCATTCCTCCAGCTCACACAGCAGTATCTGTAAGGCAAAGGATTTGCGGATATGAATGGGCACTCTAGGTCCATGCAGATCCTTAGGTGTAACATAGATGGCATTTTTGGCATCTATGCATAACATGGGCTGCTGGTTCTGGCTGTGCTGTAGCCTCTCGTGCCGTCTCAAATTTGATGTGGTGGTAAAGAAGATGCCACACTTTTGGCACGCTGACTTGTTGCCCGGAGTCTTGTCTTCGTTGTCTGTTTGTTGGCTCTCCAACAGGACTGTTGTAGGTTGTAGCTCAACTGGAAGAGAGAAAAAAACCTGTTTAGATGAATCCTAATATGTGACCCTGGAGCACAAAAGCAGTCTTAAGTCGCTGGGGTATATTTGTAGCAATAGCCAAAAATACATTGTATGGGTCAAAATTATTGATTTTTCTTTTATGCCAAAAATCATTAGGATATTAAGTAAAGATCATGTTCCATGAAGATATTTTGTAAATTTCCTACTGTAAATATATCAAAACCTAATTTTGATTAGTAATATGCATTGCTAAGAACTTCATTTGGACAACTTTAAAGATGATTTTCTCAATATTCAGATTTTTTTGCACCCTCAGCTTCCAGATTTTCAAATAGTTGTATCTCTGCCAAATATTGTCCGATCCTAACAAACCATACATCAATGGAAAGCTTATTTATTCAGCTTTGAGATGGTGTATAAATCTCAATTTCATAAAATAGACCCTTATAACTGGTTTTGTGATCCAGGGTCACATTTGGGATATACTGTAATTTTTGATTAGTAATATGCATTGCTAAGAACTTCATTTGGACAACTTTAAAGATGATTCTTTAAAAAAGACGGCTGTTCGATTATGATACCGTATCATTCATTTCAATCTGCAGCAGGTTTCTACGTAGATAGCTTGGAGTCCAAGGCAGCAACTGCGGCGTCTTGTGTCGACACACCCCACAGAAGAGAGGGGCGGAGTGAGTTCAGCTTTGAGATGGTGTATAAATCTCAATTTCATAAAATAGACCCTTATAACTGGTTTTGTGATCCAGGGTCACATTTGGGATATACTGTAGAGGTGTCCGAAACTAAAATAAGGCTGAACGATGTGAAATTTGAGAATTTGTTACACATCCAGGGGTCAGGAGCGTCCAAACCTGTTCCTGGAGGGCCACTATCCTGCAGAGTTGAGCTCCAACCCTAATTAAACACAGCAAAAGCAGCCAATCTAGAGCTATGTTCGAAAACGCCCCCCTATATACACTCATTCACTATCAGTCCACTAATGTAGTCCAGTTGAAGTGAATTCAAACGTGAGCGAATTCGGAAATGCAGCAGAAGAGCTGCCGCTTTTTCATAGTTTGTGCTTGCTGTTTAATAATCATTTGAAAGAGTTTGCAAACTGGCCGCTCCGGTAGTAATGAATAGCTTGTATAGGAACCTCCATTAAAGAGGACATCGGATGAAATGTTCACTTTTTTTAGCTTTTTTTGCATTTAGTTGGTTTCCGGTGTGTCTGCCAGCTCAGAAAGGCTGAAAAGAAAACACGCAGTTATTTAGTTATGGGCTGTCTGAGTCTGATACCGTATCATTCATTTCAATCTGCAGCAGGTTTCTACGTAGATAGCTTGGAGTCCAAGGCAGCAACTGCGGCGTCTTGTGTCGACACACCCCACAGAAGAGAGGGGCGGGGTGAGCAGAGCTCATTAGCATTTAAAGAGACTGTGAACAAAGCGGTTTTTGGTGTTGTTTTACACGAATGTTGAGAAATTTTAACAAAAGTATGTTACAGACATTTCATGAAGACCCTAAAGCATCACACCAACTTGTGGAGAACGGCCATCCGATGTCCCCTTTAACTACTTAATAATCAATTAAAAAGACATTTATACCTGTATGATATTACGCTGTAACCACTTTGGACCAGCGGTTCAGCAGTTCATCGGTTGTACACTCATTACTGCGGTGCATTATGGGATTGATTGAGTACAATCAATAATGTCCACTACGGTTTCGGACAACACTTCAAATAGCTGTTCTCTCAAATAGTGCCCTATATAATGGTATGGGGGCAGCACAGCCCAGGTCTTCAGAATTTACTAGAAACTTCCATTCAAGTGTGCTGGAGACCCACTGTCCTGCAGAGTTTAGCTACAGCCTCAATCAAACACACCTGAACCAGCTAATCACGGCCTTCAGAATCACTAGAAAAAAAGAATCAATAAACAGCCATGTGAACTGGAGAAACTGCGTGGAGAAATATTCTATCCTCATGAGAAATTCCAGACTGTGTGTATTCTGATTGGAACTTTTGAATTTCGTCTGTGAAAATTCACAGAACAATGGTATGTGTGCACACCTTTAGGAGGCGCCGTCATACAAAACAGTTACTGACTGAATGGGCAGCTGCTGTGGTGTTGCACACAGCCAATAATTTGATCAGTGGATGAGCGCTATTGAAAATGATCAATAAATGCCATTGCTCACCTGTGGATTTGTCAGTCATCTCAACACCTGCAGTCGTTTGAAACAGATTTGAGGGATATTAATTAACAAGAATGAACTTGGATGAGCTCAAAAAAACTACAATATGGACAATGCCAATAATAATAAATGAGTATGTGTATACGGTGTAAACTTTTGACTAGTAGTGTATATGTAAAAATTACTATACAGTCCGATACATACTTGATATTCCATTCTCTTTAAATTACAATACAAGTAGTAAATTAAAAAAAAAGTAGTACAGTCCACTCCTCTAAGAAAATTCAAAAATTCAAGAAATGCATTTTAATAGACACAAACCATGGTTGGTAATATGGATTTTGTAATCCTTTGTCCTTTGCAATATTTTTGAGCACATTGGGCAATGCCAGTGGCTCCTGCCATGGCCTCCATCAGAACAATAACAGGGGATAGAAAACTTCCCTGTCAGAAAGAACAGACAGCATTAGAGTTGAGAATGGGTGTAAAATACTACCTCTCTGCAAGATGTGTGTTATAGAAACGGTTACTGGTCAATTACCAATGCCAGAGTCTTTATAATACACCGCGAATCTGAGATGT